AAAAAAAAAAAAAGAAACACATGTGTTTTGCAGCAACTTGGATGGAACTGGAAAAGATCATGCTAGTGAGACAAGCCAGAAAGAAAAAGAAAAATACTGGATGGTTTTGCTCATAGCAGAAGTATAATGTACCAGGCGAGAAAATAATATGAATAATGAACACCCATATACCAGAGACATTTTGCGGGGGTGGAGTGGGGAATGGGATCAAAAACGGGGGGTGGGGTGAAGTGCATAGTACTATGGTGATGGCACATGGGTGACTTGGTGATAGGGAAACCCAACATCAATATATTAATACAGTCACTATGAAAAGCATACACTATATTTAAAAGTAAGATGTTATATTCAAATAGCTAATGATACATTTAATCATTTATTTTCAAAATGGGTTTGGGCTAAACATATTTGGGTTAAATTCACATACAATCTATATTGTATGATCAGAATTTGGTGCAGATAAATATAAGATCAAAATATATAAAATTGTAACAATAATCTCAAGATTGTCATCGTTTCCACAAACAAAACTGTATTAATTAATCTATAGCTCAAAATGTTAATTTGAATTTTTAATGCCAAAATCATTTTTACTTCTTCATACATATTTTACTAACAAAAGTCTAAGTGAGGTAACTAAGATTACTTTAACCTTAAAAGTTGTGTGTTTTTCAATATAATATTACTCGGCAATCAAGAAAGATAAACACATGCTTTTTACAGCAACATGGATGGAGCTGGAAGGGATCATGCTTAGTGAAATAAGCCAGAAAGAAAAAGAAAAATATCAGATGGTTTTACTAATAACAGGAGTATAAAGGACCAGGGGAGAAAATAATAATAATAATGAACAACTATATACCAGTGACATTTTACAGGGGTGGAGTGGGGAATGGGGGTGCACAGGTGAATTTGTGATGGGAAGTCCACAGGGATTACAACTGAGATGGAAAAAGGCATAAAATGATACAAAAATAAACTATTATAATAAATTTTTTTTAAATATATGCATCAAAAAAAATTCATGTGTTTTTTTTTTTTTTAAGGATGTTTGGAGAACTCTCCAAATGGCTCAATCACAAAGTATGTTTCTAACTCAAAATTTATTAAAAAAAGGGTCATTCTAACTACACTACTAGATTCTCCTTTTTAACATGGATTATAGTCTAACTCTAAAGGAAATCAAAAGAAAAACAAGAAAATGGATAAATGCACATAATACATATTTGTATTCTGAGTATATTTCAGGTAAATCAAAACAAATATTCAACTAAAATAACTGAAACAAAATCCTACCTGAAATAACTTTTCCTTTTGGCCCATGCCATTGGAATGATGGGTCTATCAATTCAGTATTTCGTAGCCGTTGGGTAACACATAACACATGTGGACTCCTTTGATGGAGCATAACATACACGTTCACTGAAAATATAACATTAAAACATTCCAGTAATACTTTCTCTTTCTTAACACACTATTATGCCTTACATTTTTGTAGCTTGAGTTATTATAAGTCTTTGTAAGTTTTCCACTGGAGCATTGCTCTTACTTAATAAGAACTAAATTTCATTGGCATTTTCAAAATTAAGCATATGTATTTCATTGGAACATTTGAATATATCTCAACCTGAGCATAAAGCATTGATGTTTTTATTCTGAGTTCATATATATTAACTTATTTTATTCTCAGAATATTATTTCAAGTTACAAAATATTAAGGTCATTCTATAATCAGATTTCATTTTTTTCAAAAATTCCAAACTTCAAAGAAACTGACAGGATATACTCTTAGATGAATAATACATAATTTAGTGATGAACAAAATGTACTGAATTCTTTATTAAAAATTTGATTAATATATAACAATTAAATCAATACTTTTTTTAAGGTTTATTTTATTTATGCATACAGAACTGGGGTACACTCAGAGTTGCAGGTGTGGTTAGAGGGTTCACCAGAGACAGAGTGGGGTCAGAAAAGGCAGATTGACAAAGTACAATGCTGAGGGGAGCGGCCGGCAAAGCAAGAGAGGTTTGCTGTGCCTCAATACATGTTTTGAGTAATTTTAATAATGAGACTTTTTTTTTAATATTTTGCTTTGTAATTTAAAGAAACCTGGCCATTAAACAAGCAAAAATAGTAGTTTTTAGTAATACAGTAAATATTCAGTTGCTTTTAATTTACTCACAAATGTTTACAAAAGGTTCTAACAACTATATGACAACTCTTCAGTGATTCACCAAATACAAATAATTCTGTAATACAGTAAAATCAAACTATTTTTGAGAATCAAAATTCTTCTTAACTTTAAAGAAACTATCTCTAAAATTCCAACATACATGATGTCTACTGAACATGGCTTTCAGACAGAGATACTTCTCTAGGTTAAGAAAGTCCCACATAGACTTGGTTAGTTGTCTTTATTATAAATTAACGTTGAACGTTAACAATTTTTTTTCCTATATTGCTTAAGGAGACCATTTAGTATTTTTATTCTTTAATACTTTAATGGAATAAGTCATATAACTAGATTGCCTTCCTAGAATAATGCTAGTCATTTTATCTTATTTAAACATTGTTCAAATCAATTTATAAATATCTTCCTGAAATACTAACAACTATATTTATAAATATAAAATGTCTAATTTCCTTATACCTTCCTTTCTCCTTTCCTAATTAGAAACTGTAAATTAAAGTTACAATTTAGTCAAATAAAATGTATTGGGCACATTTTCTCTTATAAATTTTCTTTGAAAGGACATGTAAAATGATTTTGTCTTTAAATATTTATATAGTCCAGTACTTTGGGATAGACTTGGGGGAGTAAAAGGCAATCAGGTGTACTTAATCAATTTTTTAGTCTACTGAGTAATTTAATCAAGTCTATTTTACAAATTTATCACTTACATTATTCAAGTATATTAACATGAAGTTATTCAAAATACTGAGTTCTGATTTGTATATTTCACCATCTATTTACTCATAACATTGTTTGACTTTCATTATCCTCTCATAAAACATTTACCAAAAGATTGTCTTTTAATTTTTCCAAAGAAAAGACTTTTGTTCCATTCAATCTGTTATATTCCCTTCTGCTTTTTTTCTTATTAGTCATTGTCTTATCTCTTTCCTACTGACCTCAGTTTAAATTTCATCTTTTGCCCAAATTCTTTAGTAAATGTTTATTTCATAAAATTGACTCTCCTTGGCATTACCAACTGGCCTTCACCATGAGCTAACCTTTATATATATATGTCATTACATCTTTTCAGATCCTTTTCCTCCTTAACTCCCACCTCCAGAGTAGCACAATGCACCATCCTTTGTGGTTTTACATATGTGCGTGTGTGCATATATACATATCCATACTTTGGGAAGGGTGGTAAATAAATGCCTCCTCACCTTTGAAAACTCAGCCCAAGTAGCCTTTTTCTACTTTGGCTTTGACAGACAAAGTATCCCAATCCACAACTATGCCCTTCCTTCAGTCCCATAAACCCCTTTCTATATTTAAACCATAGAAAATATAAGTGAATCCTTATATTCACTCTTCTCAATATAAGATCAACATACAAAAGTAAATATTTCCCTATGTCAACAATAATGCATTAGGTCATGTAACAAGAAAGAAGATAAAATTTATAGAACAATGAAAAGGTATTAATGTACAATTAAATAAGACCATAATGGAGAAAATGTTCAGATTATAGCAAATGCTATAAAATTAGACCACAATGCCATAATCAACAGGGTGTCAGACTCCAACAATAACTTTGAAGTTATCAATTTATACTCATGTTTATATCAATACTCCCATATATAAGCAAAACCCCAGAAGAATGTTTTGTGAAACACTTGGATACCAAATTAAAATGTATTTGGAAAGTTAAAGATTGATAAATGTCTCTAAAAAGGAAACAAAGGGGACTAGCATTATTCAATAGTAATAACATAAATTACAAAGCTATCCAATTACAATAAAATGACCTCTTATAGGGACAAAGAATGGTGAGCCTAAGGGGGTAAAAAAACAGACACATATAAAAATATATACAGAACAGGGCCCTCCCTGGTGGCGCAGCGGGTTAAAGCACAGCACTAAGAAACTAAAGCCACTTCAGCATGAGTTCGATCCCCGCCCTAGAGGTGACTCACATGGTCTGGCAAACCTCTCCTGACCCACCCGCTGCTCCCCTCAGCTGTGTACTTTGTCAGTCAACCTGCTCTGCTCTCCACTCTGTCTCTGATGAATCCCCTCACCACCCCTACACCTCTGGCTGTACCCCAGTCTGTATGCATCAATAAATAAATCTTAAATACACACAGAAAGAGAGAACAGTGCAACTTAAATTACTAGAAAATACAGATTAAAAACTCATGTTTAAAACAATGTAAATAAATAAATGTTGAAATTACACTAATAGTTCTCACCACACATAAAACCAAATTTCATAATGAAGATCTGAGGATAAATTAATAAAATGTGAAAAGATAACCAGGCCTTCGGGACATCGAATGATCCTTTATTTAACTCATATCAGCTGACACTGGTTTACAACATTGTGATTCATACATTGTTCCATTCTGCAGCATAAGAGGAAGGATTCTTTTAATGCAAAAAGCAGAAACATTAAGAAAAATTTAAATTCCTTATAGTTCAACAATTTTCATTCAATGCTATGCTACACTGGCAAAGTGAGCATTATGAGCACATTTAAAAGAATAAATGGCAAAATCAATCTGAAATCTAGGAGAAGATATTTGCACTAAAGAAATCTCAGGGAAGATATTCATAATAAAGAGTTTAGAAACTAGAATAGTTTTCATATGAAAGCAACTTCTTTTGAAAACAGCAATGAGATTACAGGCATAGGTAATTTAAATTTCAGCTAAGCAAAAACTGGAATGTTGGGTAATAATTCATTCTATTGAGCATACTGGTGGGAGTATAACTTGGTGAAACCATGTTGAAGAATTTTTTGGGCTCTATAATGATTAATTTCTACTGCTAAACCCAGAAAAGTTTTGAGCAGATATGAAAAGAAACAGAAATACACAAAAGTGGTATTTAACCACATGCTAGAAAAATCACTGGAATGACCTAAAAGTCCAAGACAAGTGTTAAGTGAATGAATGGATACATAAGTGAATGAAACAGAAAGCCAACAAATAAATGAGAAGATGGTAAACAAGTTAAAAAACAGGATCACCTAATAGAAAAATGCAGACATATAGGCGTTGTTTGTACTTTGCATGACAGAAGATACGAAAGAAATTCCAAGCAAGCAGGAAAAAAATCAGGCAGTCAGCATTTTCTGGTACTACAGCTAGCTAAATATCACAGAGTAATCTACTTCACAATGATGTAAGAAATGCATTTTGAACTGGAATGTCAATCCACTTTTAAAAATTTAATCAGGGCCTCCCTGGAGGTTCAGGGGTAGTCTCAACAATACCAAGCTATCGCCTGCCACTGTGGCATCAATCCAGACCAGAGAGCTAAACCATAGGGCATTGCAGACCTTTCCTATGTCGTCTGCTGCTCCTCCTCAGTAGTGTATTTCAGTAGATCTTCCTGTTCTGCTCCCCACTCAGTCTCTCATGAGTTCAGTTGCCCTTATGCACCTCTGGCCTATACCCCAGTTTTTGTATGCATAAATAAATAAAAATAAATCTTAAAAAATAAAAAGTTAACCATATCCAATAAAATAAAGTAATTTAAAGTAGTTATAGTTATCTTCCATATTTTAGGTATAAAAAATTTAACCTTTTTAAAAAAAAGTTGTGATAAAAGTTAAATGTCAATGTCATTGGCAGGGTAAAGAACATCAAATATTATCTCCATAAAGTAATGAAAACGTGACAGATATTGTCAAAATGAATATTTTAAGAACTCCGGAAATTAAAAACAGTGATCCAGGAAAAATTTATTCAAGAAAAAACAGCTTAATCTTGATGTAATGGTTTGAATTATACCCCCATCCAAATTCAGATGGTACTTCAGAATGTGGTGAGCAGAAGTAAATTAAAATGACTTCATCAAAATGGGTCTAAACCCAGTATGACCGGTGTCCTTATAAAAGAAGGAAATTTGGATACTGAGCTATAGAGGCATGGGAAGAGGTGGCTTTCTTAAGCCAAGAAAGGATAATTACAAAAGATCCTTCACCTTCACCCTTCTGAAGGAACCAAACATGCCTTCTTGATTGGATTGCTAGCCTCCAGAATTGTAAAACAATTAAGTTTCTGTTGTTTACACTACACAGACTATGGTACACTTGGATCTAGTAGATCTAACAAACTACAAAGGTCCTCAACATATGATGGTGCAACTTACAATTCTCAACCTTAAGGTGATGAAAACTGATATGCAGTCAATAGAAATGCAGTTCAAATTTTGAATTCTGAATTCTGTTTGCCAG